AAAAAAAAAAAAAAAAAAAGATTGCAAAGGCTTTCTTATATATCCCCCAAAGATCTTCTTTTGCACTTGTATCATTATCCATATGAATCATTGACATACCCCTCTCTATATATTAATTCAAAACGTGTTGAGCTTAGGTGGCAGATTCTCACGCTTCAAATGCTGACATGGCGAAAATCTATGTTTTGTGATGTTGTTTTTATATTATTTTTTATCTGAAGTTAGGTAACTTATGTTTGGTATTAGATATGAATAACTTTACATATATATTCATTAACTCAACACTCATGTTGTACGTGAGTATTAATACTGGTTCTCTTTGATTGATAAAGCAAATGATTAAGCCTATCTTTTGATTTGTGCATTAATTAAACATTAACTAGTACCCTACCCGCGCGATGCGCAGCCTGATGTTATAAGTGATGTGGGTACATAATAATTCAAATGAATTAAAAGTTATTCAATAAAAAGTATAATAATTTTTTGATTTATCACATCTTAAAATTTTTATTAAAAAAAATTATAACTCTAGAAACAACAATAATGTGCGACAGTATGTGATTAAAACATAGAATATGTTTTTTCATTCAAATTTTTAAAATTAAATTCATTAAACTTACAAAAAAGAAACATATATGGGATATTCAATATAATAAAGTATTTGTCATTATAATTTTCCTGATTTTTTTTTATTTATAAAATTGTCTCTTTAATAAAATAGTTTTCATTATCTTGAAACAAAATAAAGTCATTGTTACTATTATACAAATAAATTGCTATGCACATAATTAATGTTAACATATATGAGTCAATTAAAATTAAGAAACATAAATTGAATGCTTGATTAAAAAACACAAAGACGGCCCAACTTTTGGTCTCATGTATCTAGTTTTAAATTAGACCCACATTTTTTACTTTTTATTAAAAAAATTAAATATCAGCCATTCATTTTTAGTAAAATAAGTGTGAGGGTGATATGAGAATGATGTGCATAATGGATCATTTTTTTGTAAAGTTACAGATAGGTCGTTAATCGTTAAAGTTCAAGTAAATAACATATTACTTGTTTTTCACTTGGAAATCATAAGAAATGTTATTTACTATAATTTTAGAAATGTACATGGACATAATTTTTGTAAAGTAATAAGAAAAAAACATTTAAATTATATTACATAAATTCTAAAATAATAAAAATTATTTATTTAAACAAACATTAATGATATATGATAAGAAAAAATAGTTGGTATATGTGTTCTATGAATAAAAAATTAATAATATTGATGACAATATGTTATTTTATTCATTAAAAAAAAAAACAACTACATACTTGAAGATCGATAAAAGTTAAAATGATGATAGTTTCTTTAATAGCAAATTGTTAGATTATCTCAAATTTTAGACCTATATAGAACAAAT